GGTTTTCAGCCGGCTGACAGGCCGGCGATCGGGCAGGAGGAGGTGGGAAGATTCCCCCACCTCCTCCCGAGCAAACGCCGGGTTTTCAGCCGGCTGACAGGCCGGCGATCGGGCAGGAGGAGGAGGGAAGATTCCCCCACCTCCTCCCGAGCGAACGCCCGCTTGTTCAGCTGGCAAATGGTGCCTATGGGGAAAACATTGCAAAGCGATTTTTCCCCATAGGCAACATCGGTATGCGATCGCAAAAGCGATCGCAAAAAAGCCATCGTTATGTGGATTCCTCGTTATACAAGGCACCACTGTAGTAAGTATATTGTGATTTGTGGTATAGCAAGAATGGAATCTTACTGTTCCACACACTAAACTTATGAGAAATGCAAGACGTTCATTCATCAGCAACCTGCTCCCAATAATTCAAGGAATCTTAAGATAAGGTCAGCCAGCCAGTACAGTTCAGGAACCTGAATAAACCTTGTTGATCATTGTTACTCACAACTGAAAAAATATCTGAAGTAGGTAACTAGTCTGTGGAAAAGCCTGCTGTGTACTTGAGGACTGCAAACTCTCGAAGACATCAGTAGAGAAAACACTTCAAGACATGCACCTCCCCCTCAGTAGATCATTTTACAGAATACGATCACTCATTTTTAATCTGTGAAGTGACACTGAGTCAATGGCTAACACATCTGAGTTGTAGAACTTGCTCTCCTAAAGTCGAAGTCCAACAGTCTATGTATGTGAATTTACATGCTCTCATTTATCCCAATTTCTTATACAAGGGTTAATTCTGTGTTAAAATATATATATTTCTGTGAAGATAGCAAAGAAATATAAAGGATGCTGCAGGCATTCTGACACATCATTTTTCTTCGGGAGCAGTAACTCTTTTGCTGTTACAGAAGCTTACACAATAATCAAAATTTATACATTTGAGACAGGGACTGCTTTTGGACAATCATGCCTCTTCCTAATAAGGCAAGAGATTAGCATCTTTCATTCTCACAGGCAGCCTCTTCAGTCTCCCTCTTTGCCATGCTAGCAATTTAACCAGGAAGCCTTTTAATAGCTACAGTAACCAGTTGTGCAAACTTGGATATTAAACTGACTTTAAACCATGGAGTATCTTGGTTTGTTTTCAGCTTGTTGGTGCAGTTACATAAGCAGAAAGAACCAAAAAATTCTGATTAATTAACGGTCTTGTTTGATTGCTTATACCACAAAGAGAGGAGCCAAGGGGAACACTGAGTCCCATCTTGCACCATACCATCAACACTCGATGGGCAGTGGCTCTCCAGGATTTGATGCAAGAATCCATCCTAGCCCCACCTGGAGACCACTGGTCATCTCCCATCCAAAAACTAACCATGCTTGACCCAACTTAGCTTTTATATCAGACATGATTATTAGGAATGAGATTTTCAGACTTCTTGAACTACAAATCCCATGATTGTCCATTGTCAGGTAGCACTCCCAGAATGGAAAATTATATAGTGCAAGAAACCAAACAATCCCATCCCTGCTGATTATGCGTGTGCAGGGTAGTATGGTAAAGCTCAAAGCTTTCAAAGTCACGAAGTCAAGAGATTGTGTGTTAATGTCAAATGAAAAATCCACCTGATATTAATGATTATAGATTATAGCTGCTTCAGTGGGTATAGGCAGCACCCACTAATCTGATGAGAATATTGCTGATGGAAATATTGCTATTTTAATTTATCTTTAAAAAGCCGCCTAGAGTGGTCGCAATGACCAGATAGGTGGGATATAAATAGAATAAATAAATAAAATAAATTCATAATAATGTTCAGTTATAGAAATTGTTGACAGAGGGTCAAATTAAGTGTTAATAGTAAATTATGTGTTATTATCTTTAGCAAACATGAAGGCAACACAATATTAAATTCTCAGGAATTTTAAAGTAACATGTCACTTCCTTAAACTCCAGTACTTAAACATGCTCAATTAGACTTTGCAATACCTTCTTGTAGGGCTTCTTTATTTTTGCAAAATCATTGAAATAATCCTCTACAGTTACACAGATTGTGCCCACAGCATTGGATCCTCCAAGCCATTTTTTGGTCATCAGCTCACTGAGATGTGGCTAAAAGAGACAGAGTGTACAACACAGAGAATACTGGTTAGAGCCACATTTTTAACAGCAACCCTGACACTGAATATCTTCCACATATAACCCAGAACTGTAAATGGATATCCATAATTATTCTAGAATAAGGATGGGGAACATATGGCTCTCAAACTGTTATTGGACTGCAATTCCAATCATCTGTCACTATTGGTTGTACTGGCTAGGGATGCTAAGAATTGCAGTCCTTCATCTGGAGAATGGCACATTCCCCTTCTCAGTTCTAGAAGGCTGGAATGTAATTAAGCCTTGTAGACTAAGCAACTGTTAGTGGAAGGCCTGGGGCTAAATGAAACATTGGATCAAAATGCTGGTACAATATAAATGTTTAAGGCTATGTGTGGACAGCTGTTTTGTTCAGTATTGGGGAAAAATATTTTCTACTGAAATAACTGTTTCATTAGCAATAGCTGACAGCCAGTAGTAAGTTGCAACTAGAGTATGGCCATTTAAACAATGGGACTTATGGAGGATCTGACTCACCAAATCCCCACTGATACAATGTGCCTACTGTAGTTAGAGTTTACTACTGAATTTTAGCAAATATATATCTGAGAACAATAAAGTCCTCTCTGGCTTCATTATTGGCTCACTAAGTACAAAACTTATTTACATACATTTATGAAAGTGTATATTGGGTCATGTCTCTCCCTATATGAAGTCTACTGTGGTATGAAAGATATTCATCTCCTTCCTGAAAAGCATTAGCAATTGACAGAACTAGGCTCTGGATATTGGGAGTACATATCCCATTGCATTCCATGCACACTTCTAGAATCTTCTAAAATACTTCTTAAAATGAGTTTTGGTGATAGACTAGTTGCTATATATGGGTTTGGGATTAAGGTAAAATATAAATAATAACTTCAGGGTTTGCTTTAGACCTCAGAAATTAATTATGCTGCAGCTTCCTTCTGAAGAGTAATCACTATAACATACTTCTAAAGGGTACAATAGTTCTTCATCTGGACCACCTGTATTGAGCTTCCTACCATGATTTTATGTTTTATTGGGTTTTTTAAATTGCCCAACAAATATTTTTTTGATATTTTCGACTAAGATCAAGTGTAAGATCAAACAACATCTTAAAAGAAACTGATTTTAGAAGGTTTTCTTTAACAAGTCAAGATAGTTATGTCTTTTAGGCTGCTGCTGAAAATAAGTCCCCAGTTTAAACAATGTATGGGTGAAACAAAGTAGTAGGACTCATGCATAAATAGAAACAGCAGGTTTTTTAGTTAGTCTGAAGACAAGCTAATCTGAAAATGTTTGCTATTACTTATAAAAATCTGTACCACAATCACCCAGTTTATCCCTATGCTTTTGTTTTTTTGCATCCTTACACAGGGCTGTGTATTTCTATCCACATCAGATACTTTCAAATTCAGTGGTGATTCAGATAAGCATCTGAATTACATATATATCTCAACCTCAGACCAAGGCATCTGTATTTTTTTACCACTGTGAGATAACACACATATCCTTTCTACTTTATTTAAAAAAAGGTTTGAAGGAAATAAAAGTTAACCTCTAAATCCATGAAGACTTCATCTAGCAGGCTTGAACATCCTTCTTTGGCAACATCATCTAGAACTGCATCAATGCTTGCATGACTGCTTGTCATGATCTCTTCCATCACAGGATTCAAGTATTTCTTTTTTAAACTGATAATCGATTCCCTTTGATAAGCAAAACAAGATTCTTCAACATGTCAGTAATTCTGCATGGAATTTAACAGTAGTAAATTCTGAAGTGCAAGTGTTGATTACAACAGTCCGCCTAGCAACTTTCCACTTAATTTCAGGGAAGCTGTCTTGACTCTAAACCAGTGCTTGGCATCAGTAATGGGCTGGATGACTTAATCCAAACAAGACGGAGGTGCTCCTGGTTAGTTGGAAGGCAGACGAGGGAATAGGGATACTACCTGTCCTGGATGGGGTTACACTCCCCCTGAAAACTCAGTTCTGCAGCTTGGGTGTACTCCTGGATTCATCTCTAAGCTTGGATGCCCAGGTCTCGGCAATGGCCAGGAGTACATTTGCACAGCTAAAGCTGGTGTGCCAGGTGCGCTTGTTCCTTAAGATGTCGGATCCAGCTACAGGGACACATGCCTTAGTTACATCCCGGTTGGATTACTGTAACCCACTCTATATGGGGCTGCCTTTGAAGATGGTTCAGAAACTTCCGCTGGTGCAAAACTCTGCAGCCAGACTACTGACTAGGGTCAGCTACAGGGAGCATATAATGCACCCATTACAAGAACTGCACTGGCTACCATCAGTTTCTGGGCCCAAGTCAAAGTGCTGGCCATTACCTATAAAGCCCTATACAGCTTGGGTCCAGGCTACCTGAAGGACTGTATCTTCCTATTTGCACCTTCTCGGTGATTAAGATCAGCAGAGGAGGCCCTCCTCTCGGTCCCGTTGCCAGCACAAGCACGGCTGATGGGGACACGGGAGAGGGCCTTCTCTGTGGCAACTCCCAGGCTATGGAATGCTCTCCCTTGGGAGATCAGTATGACCCCTTCCCTTTTATTCTTTCAAAGAAAGCTAAAGACCCATCTCTTCAGGCAGGTTTTTAACAATTATAACTGAACCCTGAACCTCATTTCAGCAGAAATTTTTAATCTTTTTGTGTTTTCAAGTTTTAATCTTTTAATTGTATTTTAAATCATATATTGTTTATCTTTTCATATTTAAATTACTGTGTTTTTAAATTATATGAATTTTAATGTGAGCCACTTTGGGTCCCTTGTTGGGAGAAATGCGGCATATAAATAAAACTAATAATAGTAATAATACTGGAAGTTCAGGAATTCCATAGCAAGCAATATGACGTTGAAAGGGGCCAATGAGGATACATATATGAAAAAATGTTGACCTAGAGGAATGCCTTATCTGGGGTACCTGAATTCGCCTGTTTCCCTCTACATTCCATTCTCCTTTTATGTACTGGCTATTATATGTTATCTTTCAATCTCTGTATATTATTTGGAAAATTGTACACATTTTGTTAGAAATTAACAATACAAACATGCATGTACATCAAAATAAGTGTTCTAGAGTGGAGTTTGTAACACACTTGGTTGATAAAGACTTATCTGACTGAGAGATAAGTCCTCCTGAGATAAGACTCTCCATCCTCTTAACAATTGCCACTTCAAAACCTGGCTTATATGCTACAGTTACACACAAAAAAGTGAAATGCAATTATTAGTCCAAACCAGATTGGACCCTTTGAATTAATAACCCTTATATGAGTTTTAACCTCAGGTGCCCCGTTCATTTTAGAGGGTCTATTCTAGCTAGGGGCAACAATTGGATTTAGCTAATATTATTTAATGAAGATAAAATCCAAAACAGTGTATTTCAAAAACAAGTGTCTCCAATCCCATGGCCTATGTTTTCATCTGCACAGCCATTGTGGCAGTACCCAGCAACTGATTTTTATTCATATCTGCATCTAGAGTGAAGACAACAAAACAAAACAAAATAAAAGAGCAGTGACAGAGGATTCTTCACACATGAAACTAGCCCCCCAGCTGTATGTTTTGCGTAACAGAAATATATCAGAATGTATCAATACTTACTTAAAGGTCTGACAATTGTTGATTATGGCAACCATATACTGTACATAACATGGATGGTCCTGACGATTTCTTAGGTGCTCTTCTTTATATGAATGAGCTTCTTCTTTGTACCTGTAGGATGAGTGGGGAGAAATTCAGATAAGGCGTTCTTCTATTCAATAGTCAAAGTCCAGACCTCCACCTGATTGAGATGTTGTGGCAGGACCTTAGGAGAGCTGTGCTTAAACAAATGCCCACAAACCTCAATGAACTGAAGCAACATTGTAAGGAAGAGTGGGTCAAATTCCTCCATAATGATGTGAGAGACTGATAAAAGTCATATAGATAACGGTTACTTCAACTTATTGCTGCTAAAGTTGATTCTGCAAACTACTGAATGATAAGTGTGACGGCTGCGATGACGTCACCTGCCTATCAATGTTATGCTGGAGCTCATCTGCCTATAGCAGGGCAGGAGGTGGGACTCCAGGAGGTGGAGCTATGTATATAAGGGGAGAGTGAATGATGTGTACAGGGAGAATGAGCTAGGATGAGAAGATAGAGTGGGAGTTAGGGCATGTATGTTATGAAGTACTGTGTTAGATAAGGTCTGAGTGATAGAGTGATTGAAGGGATTCTTTATTTTAATGATTGACTTATTCAGTTCATATATTGATTTACTATATATTAAGTTGAACCAATAAACAATAATTTTTATTTTTAAAATCCATACCTTTGTCTGAGGAGTCAGATATATGTGTGTGGTTGGTGGCAGCGTGTAAAGTGTGTATGTAAGAGTGACGTGACACTTCCTTTGTGACGTGAAAGGAGGACGTCACAATAAAGTATACTTAATTTTTCACACATGATTTCTCCATTTTAGCTTTATCTTTGTAAAATAAATCATAATACAGTGCAATATGTCATCTGTTGTTCACCTGCTAAGGACCAGATGATTTTTATTATATCCTGATACATAAAACCATACAATTAAAAGAGGATATACAGTGGTGCCTCCACTTCCAAATGCCCCTACCTATGAACATTTCGACTTACGAACAGCTCCTCTTGCAAAATTTTGCTTCGACTTGTGAGCAGAGCTTCAACGTAAGAACAGAAAAAGGCAGGGGGAAAAGGTGGGAAATTCAAACGGTTGGTGGCGAAGAAGCTGCTTCTTTGTAGCTCTTTCACCCCAACGGTTAGAGCAGGGGGTCAGGGAACTTTTTTATTCCTTCAGGGCAGGAGAAGGATGGAGAGGCAAGGGCAGCTCCGGATCGCTGCCTGGTGCAGAAAGCTGGTGCGCTCCCTGCACATCCCTGGTGTGGGTCTACTCATGAGTAAGGCCCTCCAAAGGCCCTGGGCTGAGCTGGGGTGCATGGGTCAGAGGGGCTCCTCCCTGGACAGGGTGTGCAGAGGAGGAAGGAGAAATGGGGTGGCTCCAGTTCGCTGGCGGGCGTGGGAAGTCGGTGTGCTCCTTACCCATTCCTGGCATGGGTCTACTCATGAGTAAGGCCTGACAAAGGCATAGGTCTACTCATGAGCAAGGACCCCCACCGCCTTTTGCACTGGCTGAGGTCTGTCGCCGGCCGCCATCCACCAGGGAGTGCGTGCCATCAGAGGAGGCTTCAGTCTGCCTGGTAAGGTGCTGCTTTTTACTTTTTAGAAACTTCTGGGTGGGTTTTGCACAGTGGGTTTCAGCTGAGGGGGGTTATGTTTTTGTGATGTGTTGTTTGTTTTTGGTGTTGTTTCTTTGCAGCCTTCGGGGCTTGCTCTGTTTATTTTTGGTTGTTTGGTTTTTTTAAAGCCCCGGAGCCTTCTGATGGGGCTCTCTGTATGCTTTAATATATATGCTAATAATATATATATATTTGAAATGCTGGAACAGATTAATCCCATTCCCATGCATTTCAAGTGGAAATAGTGCTTCGATTTACAAAAATTTTGAGTTGCCGCCACCATTCCAATACGGATTAATTTCGTAAGTCGAGGCACCATTGTACTTTATTTTTTACATGACTGTAGATGGCAGTGAACAATTAAGATTTATAACTGACAAACATTAAAACCTCTATTAAGAATATGGAGTGGATAGGGCCAAGACCATTTTTTGCTTGTCTTTTAGAGAGTGACTGAGGTTCATAAAAAGGGGACAACTCTCACACTGCTCTTGTTTTTGTATATGCTGAGAACAGAACACAAAACACAACATGTCTGGGTTTCATGGAGAACAATGACAGGCAGAAGATTGCAAGCACTCTGGTAATATATTTTGAAAGAAAACATTTTCTCCAAGTAACAGAAGCAGTGAATGAAAAATAACATTTAATTGTACCTGCTGAGGAATGAACTCATTTGTTGAAGACACAAATGTAGCACCTTTATTTTCAAATCTTCACTTATCTGGGTAGCCACTTGAAGATTCTGCTCAAACATCTATAAAACAGAAACTAATCAACCATTATTGCACTTAATTAGAATACAGCACCTGGTGCTGTAATGCTACTAACATTACAGGGCAATCAAAAGACGTTATGCTATTCTTCAGCTCACAAACATTCCTCAGGTGAAATTTTCTCCAGTTCTTACAATCTACAGGACCTTGCCACTCACCTATTGTAGGCACCAAAGTTATAGGCAGTTTGCTGATTCCACTTCAAGACATCAGCTGTCACTTCACATGTTTGTTTGCTATGTTTCAAACAGTTGACTTTGCTTGCAAAACATATCTAGAGTTAAAAGCAATTCCACTAACAGCAGTGGTGTGCTAGGAGTGTAGGACTGCACAGCATGCCTTTCAAAAATTAATACCAAAATACAAACTTTGAAATATTACAATAGTCGCATTCAGTTAATACAACCAGAAAAGTAGGCTCTGCTGTGTTCATTAGGAACAGGTATGGATTGTGGCCTAAGCAGACATTATAAAAGGTGAGCCAATCCATTTTATGAAGGTAAAGTATAGAATAATATATACAAACCAACTATTTCATTTCCATTTTTTCTCAAATCTCAGTTGTTAACTAGTTTTTATATACCTGAAACACAATAGCAGGGAGTGTGGTTTGGTAATAGCCATCTTGATCTGCTTCAGGTTCATTTGCTCCTAGCCAGTCTTTTTTATCTGTCTCCAGGGCTTTCCGTAACCAGCCAATAATGTTGGACTAAGAACAATGAAGTTTAAAATTTTAGAGAAGACAAAAATGTTTACAGAGCAAATTAAAAGGAAAAAAAAAACAATTTCACTTAGAAATTATTGTTTGCCAAGGATGCTTTCAAACAATTACTCTAATCCTATTGAGAAATCAATAAAATTATGCTGTGCATACACTTCCAGGGAAGCATTTAACACCCCTCTGTCACTGCCTTCTTTACATTTTCAGCACCAAGTCTGATAGGGAGAGGTGTGTGGTTTTGGACTGATATTACTACAAGCCATCCACCTGGGAGCATGCACAAACCAATACACCAACCCTCATGCAGCAGGAATCACATCTTTCAAATCATTTTTCAGACATCCCAATATTAACAGAAGAGAACACAAAAAATAATATGCCTCAGACTATTTCCTGGGATACAACTCTGAGCAAATAGCTGCCAAATAAGTTTTTTAAAATAGATAGTTGAATGTATTTTCATGTTGCTTATGTTTGTTGGTATTGCATTCTTTGATCCTTTTAGTATCATATATTGTTACCAACTTAAATGCTGTATTTTAATTGCTGTCAGACAACTTGGATCCTTTTAAATGAGACAAATGGGTTTAAAATATTTCAAATAATTGAACAAACAGCAAGATGTTGTATTTAGACTTAGCCAGGGTGGATTAAAATAGATGATTCTTTTAAATTTTCCTTTTAAATATTTTTAAATTTTCAACTGGATTTTTAAAATTTCAATCATATTTTTTATTTTAATCAAATTTATTTTAATGAAATGCTTTTGGAGGAAACATCTATCTAAAGATAGTTTTCTATTTAAGATACATTATACAGTAGTTCAATGGTTATTCAGCATGAAATAGAGCTTAATTATGTAGCATGAAGCAGTATGTTTATGCAGTATTTACATTTTTGGTAAACTAACTCAATTAAACCAAGCTGAGATAACATGCACTTTTTCACTGTAAATATGGTATAAAATATGCAAACTTCAGGAAAAGACCTTAATTCCATTGTTGTTCTGCAAATCAAATTACAATGAACACATTGCCTTAAATGCTAGGTCTGAAGATTGTTTGGAGTGAAATACATCTAAACCAGGCTGTAAGTGTGAGGAGGGAGGGACAAGCAGTAAAAATGAACGTGAACCCTTCTGAGCAACAAAGCTTGGGATCTTTGTGCACACAGCTTGAAATTCTTTATTCCCTCCCTTGAGGAGCAAAATGAAGTTCCTCTACCTAAGGGAAAAGCAGGTATGTGTGCAAAATGCAAGCAATGCATTCCTATGGGAAATTTTGCTTCTAATTATGAACGTTTCAACTAATGAACATTTTCTGAGATAGATTAAGTTCGTAAGTAGAGGTTCCATTGTATTTTTTTTTCTTTTTAAGTTTGTAAGTAGAGATTCCACTGTATTTTTCTTCTTCGAGCCAGACCGGATTAATTGATTTTCAATGCATTCCTATGGGAAATGGTGCTTTGACTTAGAAAATTTCAACTTACGGCCACCGTTGTAAGTTTGTAAGTAGAGATTCCACTGTATTTTTCTTCTTCGAGCCAGACCGGATTAATTGATTTTCAATGCATTCCTATGAGAAATGGTGCTTTGACTTAGAAAATTTCAACTTACGGCCACCATTGCAATACAGAGTAATTTTGTAAATCAAGGCACCACGGTATTTTGAAAAGCGGCTCAGGAAAGAAGTTGCCCACCTGTCCTTAAATGATCAATAGTTTCACTTTTCTGTTCAATAAGAGAAAATGCACCCCTGAAAACTTGATAAGCTAAATGTTTTGCTTTGTTTCTATAAAACAGAGAGGAAACAGCAAACACCATAGGACAACTGTTTACACACCTTTTGAGGAGTACATGTAACATGATACAGCTCAGATTTGCTAATATGCTTTACAATGTTTGCAAACAACTACCAGTTTTATAGCAACTCATTAGCACAAGACATTAAGAAACTTTGTGTTGGTGTACAGAATTGTCTGCCAAGGGCACAATCTGAGTAAGACAAACATTTGTAACATCTAAGATAAATTCTGGACTGGAAAAAAAGAGCAAGCAATAGTAATCAGAATTCAATCCCTGTTTGAATGAGTGAGCAAATTACTATTATTCCTTACTGTTAGAGTTGACATATATGTACTAAGAAGGTCATCCACAACTTCTTGGGAAAGTAGAGGCTGCAGGGAATTCACATCTACTTCTGGTGCAAGTTGCGGATTGCCCATCATCTCTACACTGAATGGAAGAAAGAATAGAGAGATAGCAAGTGAATGAAAACACAGACTACAATTCAAGCAACTGCAAGAAATTTTGGCCAGCATCTGCTTTTTTTTATTAACCTCAGCTCACTATTTAACAATGGCTCAAAAACTGTAAATTACTGAATTATAAGTAATCTGATAAAGCCACTTGATAATGTGAACAAGTTAAATCTTAATAAACAGCAAACAGTTTATTTCTTGCTGAGCTACTTAATAAAAACTGAATTTTTATCCCCTTAGTTTTCTGGAAGTAAAAGATAGAGGCTTGGTGTTGTTTTCTTTTTTCAAATGCAACTGAAAACTCTCTGAAGCTTAGAAAATCCCTATGAGGGGCATCTTCCTAGCAGGGATGGGGACTTGACTCAGATTTAAGTCACACTGGTGACTCAACTTGGGAGAGTTTTTTTTCAATGACTCAGACTCAACTGGCAACTCAGACCCATTTTTCTGAGTTGTGTTTTTGAGTCCCTATTTTTTTTTTAATGAAGGACATTGTAAACCCAGAAGCACTGACCTGAGCCCAAAATCCCTGCTTCCTAGAGACTTTCTATGGATGTGGCAGCCCTACTGCCTGTGTATAGTTATGGGAAACATGTTAAATATAAAGGTCCACATTAGCATTCTATCTTTGAAAGATGAACTGCAGCTAATTTGCACATATTCAACTATGTCATACTTGTTTGGTATTAATACAATGTGTATAATTTTCAAAACAAAGCACATTCAAAATGCCGTTGGTTAGCAAATTTCTTGTTCTACTTCATTCTTTTGCAGAAAATATCTCGCTAAATTTACACAATACAAAATATAGTGCATTATAAAATGTACTGACCCAATTCCCAGCACTACACTACTCAAAATGTAACAAATCCTACATGCAGAAAAGGCTAAGTAAAAAAGTCCAATAAATCTGCTCTGACTTTTAACTGTTTTCATACATTCCATTCTTGCAGCCACAGTTTCAGATACATTGTTCCAACAATGAGCATTAGAGCTACCATTTATTTGGGATTCTTTAAAATAGGAGTAGGTCATATGTGCCTCCCAGCATCCATAGGGGCCCAAGCAGTGCCACACGTATCCAAAATTTAAAAACACTTTTGTCTCAGAGAGTCCTCTTATGCCTTCTAGTGAGTGTTGGTGGAACATTACACTATTTATTTGTTAGGATGCCACCTTTCGACCTCCTTCGAAGTAAAACTTTGGACACTAGAAGGTGCAAGGTGACTTCTTAAGTGAAACCCCCCTCCCCAATTTCTGTAAGATTTTTTTTTTCTTGTGAGTGTTTGGTTATGGGAACAGATGCAGGACTCCAATGCCTGTGGATGTGGCCATGAACCACTGGTGATCATCGACCCTTCCTTCAGATCCCAATAAGAGCCACGTAAAATGAACATAGTTTCTGCTCTCAATCCAACCCATTCTGACTTACACTTTGACGTTCCTTCCTTCCAATTCACAAAAAATTAAAAACATGTGTAATGTACAGAAATTAGTATGATTTCAAGTGGAGCATGAGGCAGGTGAGATCAGGCAGTGGGTAAGACTTTGTCTTAGTCTATACAGTTGAGATCAGGCAGTGGGTAAGACTTTGTCTATATTTTATTTTAGCAGCAGGAGGAGCCTAACTACAGAGCTCAATGAAACTGCCTCTCTTGTTTAAGATTTTAAATATTACTTTCATTTTTATATTCAGCTTGGATACAGGCAAAACTGAAAAATCCATCTAAGTATTTTAAAAGGTACATAGATCCTCTTCTGATACCTTGAACTTTCTGAAGCATAGTAAACCTGGTGCTGCCCCTAGCAAACTTGCTGTGAACATTTTAATTGATAGATCAATAGTATACAAAAATATAATCCACACTTGTTTACCCCATTTACAATTTATATCCATCAATTGCGATCAGTCTGGCCACAACATTTTGGACCTGACTTTAAGGTCAGCCTTACGTAGACAACATTATGTTGATCTTGGAACCTTGTACAGTGGACCCTCTACTTATGGAATTATGTTCGGCGGCTCCAAAATGGCCGCCGGAGCCCCAATCGTCGCAAAGCGAGTGCGGCGATTGGGGCTGATCCGTATAGCGATCCCCAAAAAGGGATCGCTATACGGATTTTTCGTTAAACGGTGCACTCGTTAAGCGAGGCACCACTGTACTTATAATTATTTTACTATTTGTAATATACAATGCCCTTACCTTTTGTAAGTATTTAATACCCATGTCAAAAGGCTAACAATTTCATTTGCTTCCAGGTCTTCTGATGCCAGGTCCTGCATACGTATAGACAAAGCTTGGTGGTACATGTGTAGCAACTTTTTGAAAATTTCATAATGTGGGGGGAAACACTGATCCAGAAGATTCTTAGCTACTAGCAAATCATCAAGGACATATTTGCGAATGATTTCCAGATGGCGAACCAGCCACATTTTATCAGATTCTCGGGTGTCTGCTTGCGTGCCTTCAATCCTGGTAGTGACAGTTCGATCTAATACATTGAACATTTTCTCCTTCCATTTTTTAGGCCGGCCAGGTGGGATGAACCCAGTTTGCTTTTTTCGATCAAGCATGCGCCTGTCTATTTTCTCTTCCCTCTCTATTATCCTGACAACTGAAACCAGCAAGGTTGGGTCTCGACGGACAGTGACCAGAGACCTCTGAATGACCATCCATAGCTGCTTGGCCAATTCTTCAGAAAGTTTTTGCATATCACCAAAATAGTTGTCAATTAGATTCATATCATGGGTGTTCTTGCTGTCCATACGGTACTGTTCATACATCAGGTCATCTCGAGAGCACTCCAAATCCATCAGCTTTCGATGGGCTTGCAGCAGTTGCCCTTGCTCTATTAAGTCTTGGGTTTTCTGAACTATCTCTGGCACTGAAAATCAAAAAATAAATGCAAACAATATTATACAGTATTATACAATTCTTATTTCAGAACTATAATTGCATGATAAATAGTATGCAGAACATTAAGAAAAGTTAAACCGTAAAACAGCATCATAATATTATTATTCTATTATTCCCCGAGCACAAAGACTCATTTCACAGATTCATACCTGAGAATATATTTTTTAGGTTTTCTACAGCAGCTGCCACCTGGCGATGTTGAACTACAGCATCCTTAACATCCTTGAGGTTTTCAATCGTGTTGATACTTTGCCGCCAATCTTTATTGACATCAACCAGAGAATGCTGAATAGCTTTGACATCATTCAGTGCATTGTGCAGCTGGCTTAAACCAGTGCGGACTCCATCTAGCTGTGACTGTATTGCTGCCTGAAAAATGATTAATGATGATCTCACTTTAGTTTTGCATTAAACAACCAAGAAATTCTGATACTGTGTTGCCATAAGTTTTTAAACAGTATTATTATTGTTCCACAAAATATACCCATATAAAAGAAATCAAACTGAGATAAGAAGCACATACTGAAATTCCTGTATAAAAATCAAGAAGAATCTGAAGAAAACAGGCATGTGTAGCATTATACTTACATACCTTATTACACAATAAAGCAATACACAAGAAATACACATAAACAAATTAAATCCACTGTCAAAAGTATAAATAATCAGCAAGCAGGTAAAATAATCATTTTCAAAGATCAGATAGTAAAATTAACATAAAGAGATAACATGTATCAGGTAGCATGATTAACATTCAGAGATAGGTGAAGCACACAATTAATTCTATCTTGCCACAGCCCATGTAATGAATTCGGTGGTCTTATAGCAGATATACTGTAATTGTCTGTGCCAAGTAGCAAAGGAAAACTGTATTTCAAGGAGAATTGATTTTCTCAGTCCCAGTTGTTCAGGGTTCAAGATACCGATCGCGCAAATCAGTATACAGAGGACATTCTTTTAGAAGATATATCATGTCCTCTACTTTAGAAAACCTTGCTGGGCAATATCTACTTGTACCATGTCAGTCCCTGAACTTCTTTCAGCTGCAGGGAGTACAATCTGTATTTGGTCAAGAGCCATCTCAGCTCATAAACAACAAATACAGTGGCACCTTTCCAAAACTGAAAGAAAAGCCTTTATACATCCTATAAGAGTGCCAGCTAGCTAGAGATGCCATAATACAGTAGTCTGGATATCGATATTGTATAATATTTTAATATCTTCTTAGGCAGCCTCTTATCCCCTTGTGTGGAGGTAGGCTAAAGAATGTTCTGATAGTATTTCAGATGGCATGACATTGTAATGAAATATTAAAGCAAAATTCCAGTGAAAATGGCCTACTGATATATTTTGTTTTAAGCATCTTCACTTATGATGTAGAAAGAAATCTCACCAATGTGGATTAAACAATATACTGGGTATTTAAAGGATTATACTGGGTGCAGGCAAGCATTTGGGATTCACTTCAAGTGCCTGTTATTACATCTTGTATGTTTACTGTTATCTCTGTAATTTACTGTAAAATAAATTGAATTCTCATGAAATTAAAATCCATAAATATTCCCATTTCTAATTGCATGTGTATCTAGTGTGGTATACTGGATAGAGTGATGGACTAGGACTCTGGAGAACAGGATTTGATCCCCTGCTCAACCATGGAGACTCACTGGGGGATGGAACTGGTAAAACCACTCCTGAAATACCATACTTACCTTGAAAACCCTGTCAGAGTCACTATAAGTTGGTTTTGACTTGACGGAACATAACAAGAACAATTGCAATGTCACTCAAGGTCACTGAAATACAAATGCATACATATGCATTCATCTATAGCCTCTATATGGAATTTTCTACAAAAACAGCACATATACTGGCATTAAATTTTAATGATTTTACTAGACTAAAGTTTGTAGCTCAGTTAAATTTTGGAGGGTTTTTTTCAAAATTTTATCAGGAGATTAAAAATGACAGAGCAGGGACCATGTCCTGAGATCAGGTAAAATATAAGGAACAAACAAAGAAAAGACAAATACAGCCACGAGAAAACACACATACTCCAAAATCCATGTTTTTCTGCGTTATTAGTAGAGTTACATGCTTATATCTAAACATTTTTTTCAGGGTACCTTTTTCTATAGTTGATTTAAAAAGTGCATAGTAATACATGCCCAGTAGAAATCCATGTTACCTAGCAATAGATTCACAATCAGCCTGCAAAATTAGGGCTGACAATGGGATAACAGCTCTGGTAAGTAGCCCCAATGCTATGTTTTCATGTCCCTATAGGAAAACTTTCTTATTGGCCTTCACATGTACAGCAGTTCTAAAATCATTTTTAAAAATACAGAAGAGTAGGAAATGGATAGCAGATCAAATTGCAGAGTAATTTTGATATTGCCTAAAACTGACACATTAACCAAGTGAGTGATAAAAAGAGGGAGTTCTATCTGTTTGCATGTCTTTTCATCACCTATCCACCAATGTTTTATCAGCTATCTCCTTTCAAATATGGAGAGGACTGTGTAACAAGTCATTCTTCTTTTGGTAACTATGTGATTCAGTCATGGCTACTGCTTTGTACTTTCCAGAAAAAGAGGATTGAAGCAATAAAACAGAAGCAAAGGCAGCTCTAATTATGCAGGCCAACCCAGAACATTTTGCATTAAACAGGGATAGCTTTCATCATCCAGTTCTGTCCCAGCTAGTGGGAGGACTACATCTAAGCTCAAAGAGAATACAGTAATCTATCCACTAGCAGATAGGATCCTTAAACTGTGGCACATTGGAGCCTCAGCGAAGATGATACACCTTTAACACATGTCAATTTCAAGGGCTTTGTTGTTAATCAAATAAAGTTTCCTACCTTGAGTCTAGCTTCCACTGAAGCCTTCTTGCGTGCTTCCCTCCGGCGATATTGTTCTACTTTATCCAGCTGGTCTGGCCGCTGAAGCATCCCAGCCACCCTCTGTACAGCTGTGGCAACTGCCTCCCTGCTAGTCTCTTCCATTTTGGAGCTATGTCTTACAGTGCCGATATAAGCATATCACAGGGGACACTGCAGAAACAGGATGATTAGATATTTAGAGACCCATTTTCCTTCAGACATCACTTATAAACTGAATAGATGCAATACATTAGCTAGTGACAAAGGCAATTTAAGTAAATAAAGTATTGGAATCTTGATGTGTAGTAAGTGCTTGCTGCAGCAAAGGAGAAAGACTGATTATGAATAAAAGATTAATCATTCAATTTAACTGCTCCATTTAAAACCTACTCATTGATTCTTCAGCTTTACAGCCTAATTGAACAAAATCATATTGAAATACCAGATGAGCCACATGAATGGATTATCAAATTCACTGCAATTAGGGGTTCCTGGATTGTCATATTTGGGATTCCCAAGCAAACAAAATAACTGTCAAAATCACTTCAAATGCAAGTCAAACAGATGACATGGTACCAGTTAAGTTTGTAAGCTCCACATTTGTCTGGGATGCCATTTAGCAATGTCTGAAAGGGAATTTATGTAGCCACATCACTCATACTGTAGATGTAGTGCGACCCTACAGTCACGGCCAAAAATATTGGCACCCTTGCAATTCTGTCAGAAAATGCAACCCTTTTCTCAGAAAATTGTTGCAGTTCCAAATGTTTTGGTACTCACATGTTCATTTTTTTTGAGAAGGGTTGCATTTTCTGACAGAATTGCAAGGGTGCCAATATTTTTGGCCATGATTGTATATATTTCATTACACGTGTTTAGGTGCTACCACTAGCTGATCATAACCAATCAACTGCTTAAATGACTTGTACAATTTAATTAATGGCGCATTTGCCAGCAACTTTGTAGGGATAAGTTACATTTGAAAACTGAGATCTCTGCATTTGTATAAAGGAAGATGTCACATTTTGTGAATACTTACAAACCACATTTGCTACCTAAATGCCATAGGCTGAACACAACTATTTTGTAAATTAAGGTCCAAGAGCAAATAAATAAATTACGTAATTAAATTAAATGAGGATTAAGAGATAATAATTACTCCAATAACCCCCAAAACTGACAATATGAAACCGTATATTCAGATTTCTGGTCCAGTTACTGTACATTTTAAAAAGCCTATGTATGCAGTACTTAAGTCTTTTGTACTTCTAGTGTATGAACTGCTACAGAACATATTTGGTTAACATCACATTTTCTCCTTGAGAATGGCTGAAAACATGGATTTTGATCCACAAAAGCTCACACTAACATACAGTATATTCATTTTTAAAGCATCATAATATTTTGCCCTTTCCCCTCTTGTCCCCCTTGCACAAGAATTCAAAAACAAGGGTGCAGAAGAGCTCTTTGAAATGTGGAAGTCTACACAAAGTCATTAGAAATGTCATAGCTAATTTTCACCTCTCACAGATTTACCCCATAGGACTTAGATAACACCTATGAAATTATATTACATGCCATCAAGGTGATTCTGCATTACAGCAATCTTTTCCAGAATGTTCTACATATATAGTACTCAGAAGTGATTTATCATTTCTTTCTACTGCAGATGCTCTTACCAGGTTTAAAAACAAGAGATAACACTTAGGATCACACTTTTGGATACCCCAATTGTGAAAGCCCTGATAGTCTTACTATTAAGTGAAAAATATGTTTCTGCAAACAAAGTAAATTCTAACTGACTGACAGGGTTTGTGCAATTTTTAAAATTAGGAATGAAAAAATATGAAATACTTAAAATGGCATAAAAACATAAATTCAGTAAAAAAAATGGCATAAAAACATAAATTCAGTAAAAACCGAAAAGAGGAAGAAAAAGCTCATTACACACCCTCCGCCCAGTGACTGGTTTGCTAGCTTTGTAGATATACAATGCATGCTACTCTGAGCTTTCTTTCTTGCCCTCCGCACAGTAATGCTCCTGGTAGGTTGCCTTTGCTTTTTTGAATACAAAAGTGTTTAAATAATAGTTAAGTAGTTAATTTGTCACATTAATTATATGTCTTTTAAAAAAAGATTTCAAGGTCAAAACTGCTTTTTCTGGCACTGGATTGAATATACCAAAGGAAGTAAATCAGCAAGTCAGAATCAGGTACAACCAGTTGCTGGTACAAACTTGCAGAACATGCTTGTATGTGTTTCAGAGCTCAGCTCTGGATAAGTTGCTGGATTTGCTGGTAAGTCTAAAAGCACTCTGCCTGTCTTCACCTCAAAACAGTTTGTGTAGGTGTCTCTAGGGCTCTCTTTTGCAAGAAAAGAGACAGCTTTCCGGGATGTACCAGTAATGACATGATCCATAATAAATGACCAAGGGCCAATTCAATATGAGAAGTCTAATACAGTAGAAGGATATTAGATACTAGTGAATACTATCATCTGTTTTGCTGTGCATGCACAGAGTATATGTACTGGATGGTGGGACACACTGGATTTATCTCAGCTGTGTAGGTGTAAATTGGCTACATACAATTTTGGGGGTAAAAATATCAATCAAACAGGATATTCACCCCATCTGTGCTACAGCCCTGTACTGGAAAAGAAAAAAAACTTGGAATATTTCGAGGGCTTTTTAAAAAATAAACACCCCAACATCCCATCCCACCCCTCCCCTTTACTATCATCTGTTTTGCTGTGCATGCACAGAGCATATGTACCGGATGGTGGGACACAGTGGATTTATCCCAGCTGTGTACGTGTAAATTGGCTACAAACAATTTGGGGGTAAAAATATCAAACAGGATATTCACCCCATCTGTGATACAGCGCCATACAGGAAAAGAAAAACAATATTTGGAGTATTTCAAGGGCTTTTAAAAAAATAAACACCCCAACATCCCACCCCACCCCTCGTTTTCTAAGAACAAGCAACACTTCACGGCCACCATTCACTTCTGAATGACCTCCCTGCATGACAGGTGGAGACCGAGCATAGCAAAGCCCTAAACGTCTCATTCACACAACCGACCTACAGAAAAGGCACCTCCCCGCTAGCCTAACCACCCATTCAAATGCCAGGAATCGATATGCTCCACTCTAATATTCCCCCAAAATTGCTTGTTTCCTCGGGATATTTTGGGGGGGTGGGGTGGGGGAGAAAGAGAACATAACACCACCCACACTTCCCTACGGATAGGCGACACTCCCTAATTAAAGCTGTTTCCAGACGCTCGCTTGGCTCACCTGGGCTCCTAGCGGGTCCCCGGAAGCCTCTGACAGACACGTTCCAAGCGCGCTTGCGCCGCTTCGCATCAACGTCAACAAAGCAAAGGACTAGGCGCTCACGGCGCGTGCGCCGGCGAACCAACAGGGACATTTCCAAGGAGGAAATGCGCATGCGCGAAAGCGTTGCGACACCTGTTTCTATATTTCTCCCTGGCTCCTCCCCCTTCAGGTAGGGATTAAAAATAAAAGGATTATTCGGAAGATGTTGGCTTTTGTGTCATAAACAGGTGCCAGTAAATTTTAAATGTCAACCCAACAGGAGACTATGAAGGCCCTTGTTGTATTTCAGTAGTGTAATTCTAGATCATGGGCTTGAAATTCTTATTCTCGCCGCCGCCACCGTTTTTAACGGCGTTTTGTGTAACTTCAGTGCACACGATTTAACACTTCTGTTCCCGTAACCGCCCCTTCTATTTTGCCTGCTGCTTTAAAAGCAAGAACAAACAAGTGTATGTGCGTTTTCATATTTTTAACTCACTTGAGCCATAGCACTGTATTTTTACTGTAGCAGTTTGCTTTTGATGCTTAATACATTAATTTGCAAACAGTGGAGTAGGGATCACTGAATCGGATCCCCAGAGAATAAAACATCATCTGCCACCCCCTCAAGTCTTCTCGTTCCCTTTGAGATTAACTGCAATACTAATATCTAGGAGAGACATTGATTTACTCAAGCATGGTATGTTTTTGCAAACTATCCCTGTTGTAATAAAAAGTATTTGAGGGTAGTTCAATCTTGAATCAGCATTTAAGAGCCATTAAATTTACAAAATACATGTTACTTCCCCCCCACACCTTTCATAAATCAATCTAGTAGTCTGAATGTGTAGACTTTATGAGAGAAGTGTTAGCTATGACAATTGTTTTGCTGATCAACTACACTTCCAAACTGACCATTATTTAGAAATGCATTTTAGTAAATAAATAGGTGTATACATTATGTAGAAATAATATGATAGTCTGTGCTGCTCTCTGACTATAAATGTGTGTGTGGTAGAAAAAATTTGTGGTGACTTGTAGTGGTTACTGTCAGCATCACCAAGCTGCACAATGCGCATGCTCTTTGTCTGCTGCCTTCACCAGTAGCCATTTCTTTATGGGGAGCAGGGGGCTGGCCTTCAGAGCTCTGGACTTGTGGTCCCAAGGTTCAGTAACTATACTGCTATGTCAGGTTCTGTTTTGCCCTTCAATAAAACAATTAATTGGATATAAGTTTGGGATTGGCCAACAATCAATTGGTCCAGGGCCATGACTACAGAAGAGTTAAGTATTTTTTTGTTTTGACAGTGAAGAACTGGAAACTGTTAATTTCAAATTACTGTATTATTTTCTATACCTTGGTTCAATCACTGGGACAAATGGGCGGGGGGAAAGGAAGATACTGTGAAGGAACTAGGAAAGATCCTTACACTAGGAAAGTGTAAGGATGTGTCATTGGAGCTCAAGGCAAAGATTAATCAGGCTATGGTATTCCCAGTTACATGTATGCATGTGAAAACTAAACAGTGAAGAAAGTTGGGTGCTAGATCACATCAAGATAGGTTGTCTCTAGGAGCAAAAATGATATAAACATTTGGGTATTTCTTAAGAAGACTCACTAGCAAAGGCAGCAAGAAAAAGAAGTTGTTGTTCAAGGCACTAGGCAAAGATGATCGAGATGGATCAACTAGTAAAAGAAGTCACAACCCTTAGTCTGCAAGACCTGGGACCTGCCTTAATGGTAAGACATTTTGGAGGTCAATAATTCTTGGACTCACTGTAAGTCAGAATCTGCTTGACATATAAGAGCAAAAACCAGCAGAGCTGTTATGCACATATCATGATGCTTGTATTTTTTGTTTTGTTTTTTTCTTTAAAGAAAAACTGTGGTTGAATGTTAAGGAGATAAAAATCATGGCTACAGAACTACACAAATTTGGCATGAAACTGAAATAAAGAGATTTTGTGTACTTTACTTCAATCATCAATCTAAGGGAAGACTGCAACTAAGAAACAAAGGAAGACAGACTAGGAAGGGCAGCAATGAAGGAACTAGAAAAGTTAATCAAGTGTAAGGATGTGTCCTTAGAGACCAGGAACAAGCTCATCCACATTCCTATATTTCTGATAACCAGATGTGGGTGGGAAAGCTGGACAGTAAAGAAAGCTGACAGGGATAAAAATGATTAATTTGAAATAAGGTGCTGGAGGAGGGCTTTGCAGATACCAAGGACTGCCAGAAAGATGGGCATGTGGATCCTAGATCATATCAAGTCTGAAATATCTCTAGTGGAAGAATTAAAATATGTGGTTATCCTGTTTTGGGCATATTATGAGAAGGCAAGTTTCCCTAGAAAAGAAAATAATGCTGAGAAGGATTAAAGGCAGTAGGAAAAGAGGAAAACCAAATATGAGATGGGCCGACTTCTTAAAGGAAGCCAGAGGCTTTACAAGAGCTGAGCACGGCCATTGAGAACAGGACCTTTTGGTGATCACTCATTCATAGGGTTGTTATAAGTCTGAGGCATCTCTATGTTTACATACATGGGGCCTTTTTCAGAGTAGACACCTCAATGATTTCTTGGTGTTTAGCAGCTAAACACGATCCACCTGGAGCATGAACTGGCAAGCCACTCCAGTATATTTGCCAAGAAAACTCCATGGACAGAAATAAAAGGCTAAAAGATAAGATGCTGGAAGATGAATCCCTCAAGTCGGAAGGCATCCAACATGCTACTGAGGAAGAGCGGAGGACAAGTACAAGTAGCTCCAGAGCTAATGAAGTGGCTGGGCCAAAGCCAAAAGGATGCTCAGCTGCGGACGCGCGTGGAAGTGAAAGGAAAGTCCGATGCTGCAAAGAAAAATACTGCATAGGCACCTGGAATGTAAGATCTATGAACCTTGGTAAGCTGGATGTGGTCAAAGAGGAGATGGCAAGAATAAACATTGACATCCTGGGTATCAGTGAACTAAAATGGATGGGAATTGGCAAATTCAATTCAGATGATTATCATATCTACTATCATGGAAAAGAATCCCGTAGAAGAAATGGAATAGCCCTCATAGTCAACAGAAGAGTAGGAAAAGCTGTACTGAGATACAATCTCAAAAACAATAGAATGATTTCAATACGAATCCAAGGCAGACCTTTCAACATCACAGTAATCCAAGTTTATGCACCAACCACCGATGCTGAAGAGGCTGAAATTGACCAATTCTATGTAGACTTACAACATCTTCTAGAACTGACACCAAAGAAAGGTGTTCTTCTCATTATAAGGGATTGGAATGCTAAAGGACAGAGTCAAGAGATCAAAGGAACAACAGGTAAATTTGGCCTAGGAGTTCAAAACGAAGCAGGGCAAAGACTAATAAAGTTTTGTCAAGAGAACAAGCTGGTCATCACAAACACTCTTTTCCAACAACACAAGAGGCGACTCTACACATGGTCATCACCTGATGGGCAGTACCGAAATCAGATTGATTATATTCTCTGCAGCCAAAGATGGAGAAGCTCTATACAGTCAGCAAAAACAAGACCTGGAGCTGACTATGATTCTGATCATCAGCTTCTCATAGCAAAATTCAAGCTTAAACTGAAGAAAGTAGGAAAAACCACTGGGTTAGTCAATATAATCTAAACCAGATCCCTTATGAATACACAGTGGAAGTAAAGAGCAGATTTAAGGAACTCGATTTTGTGGACATAGTGCACAGAAGCAGAAGACATCAAGAAGAGGTGCTCACTGGAAGGACAGATCCTGAAGCTCAGTCTCCAATACTTTGGCCATCTCATGAGAAGAGAAAACTCTCTGGAAAAGACCCTGATGTTATGAAAGTGTGAAGGCAAGAGGAGAAGGGGACGACAGAGGACGAGATGGATGGACAGTGTCACCGAAGCTAGCAACATGAATTTGACCCAACTCTGGGAGACAGTGGAAGACAGGAGGGCCAGGCATGCTCTGGTCCATGGGGTCATGAAGAATTGGACACAACTAAACGACTAAACAACTGCAACAAAAGGCATGACATTTTTAGCTATGAAAGCTCCACGGAAATTGACTTTATTAGCTCTCAGGGCTGATCATAATTTGGAAAAAAATATTGTTTATAATATTGCATGACTGTGTATATAAAAAGCTACATATTTTTAGAGCATGGGTGTAAGCAAATCAGCTTTTAATTAAAAAGAGATTAAACCCCAGTGAACCAGTATAATGCACTGAAAGACTGAGAGTCCCAGTTCTAATTAATCCTTCAGAGCTGTGCATTGTAGTTGTCAGTATTCCTTAGACATTAAAAGAGTTCAGAAAGTCAAAGTACAGTACAGTATTTCAAGTGGGAAACCCCTGGAAAAATCAAAGCTGTTTCATACATGGGTGCAAGGACAATGCTGCTGGTGAACTGATTGAGCAAGAGGTGAAATTTTAGAATGTAGACCTTTTGCTCTGCCATCTGTCAAAACATTGATTTATGGTAAGCTATGAATATTTGTCATTCTTCATGGCAGGTAACTTGTTTTAAAAGAAAAATGGAACAGTGTTAATAATTTGGGGCAATGATAACCTATTCATTTAATGTATTTTCATTTATTTGCTTCATCTAGTCAAATAACATAACCCAACACTATTGCTGTTATGTTATGCATTATAAAAGAAAATTATTTTTAGATTAGCATGTGTTACTGTCTTTGAGTAATTCTTTTTAAAATAGCTACTTTTACTATTTATGTTCAATATTTTGCATCAATTGACCTTTATTTTAATTAATTGGCTACTGAAATCCTCCACACTCTTACCTCAGAGTAAACACCCTTGTACTAGGTGGGGACTGACTGATATATAACATTTTTTACACCTTAAACAGATCAGTGTAGCTCATCAAATGATTTTAGTTTTTAACACTGCAGAGTGCATGGTACTTGGTTTGTCTGTTCTATATCTGTAAAATTTCAGTATTAATGACAGATTACAAGATTTCTGGTTAAGAGAAAATTAAGTATTCTGCTTATCTTAGACTCATTTCACTATACATAAATGAAAATGCTTTTCCTGGACTATTGCTACTTAGCTGCAAGGAAAGAACTGTATTTT